GAAAGAGATTTGTACAGTGCAAACAACGTATATACATTTGGCCAACTCTTTAATTTTAGCTCATCATTTCTACAGAAAGCACGAGATTGACGTGTCATTTTATTTTAAAGCTGCAGGTGAACTTACCTCAAGGGGCCTTCTTCTTCATCATTGGAACGATGCTCTGCTCCCTGGAGAAGCTCTGGTATTTTTATTTTTTTTTCCTTTGATAGCAACCTTTGCCCCCTTTAAACCGCCGCCTCCTAAATCCACTATTAAGGTTGTTGGAGCGTGGCAATTCCATGCATTGGCCAGCATCATATTTCCATAGCATTTGTATACATTTGCCAGCATTATCTTTTACTGAATACAAAATTTATGTTCCAACGAAGCTTGCCAGTTTTTCCTGCACATGAGTGGATACAAATTAGTCTTGTCTGAATGGCCCGACAAACTTGAATTGGGCGACTCCAAACCCGTCTCCAACCCATACGGTCATTGTCCTGTCTCTCTTTATCACCGGCGAACCTCCCTGTGAAATACCTCTAAAATAATTTTTTTGATTTATTAAAATTTATTTTTAATTTAAGTATGTTAAAATAATAAAAAAATAATTTAAAGTAAACAAAGCTGATATCACAAAGATTGGCCTCATGTGATAGGTTACTTTTAAGGTTTTTGCTGAAAAATAGTTTTATTTGGAAAGTGAATTATGAAAAAATAAGTTATTTTTTGATGTTTGGTAGTGTAACAAAAAATAAGTTGAAAAATATTTTCTAGTGTTTGGTTATGTATGAAAAATGAGTTGTAATTAACTTTTTAATGTTTTATCTTTTTTAAGTTTATTAAAATAACAAGGAATAAATTTTAAAAATTAAAAAGTTGAATGAAAATAAAATTAAAAAATATATAATTTTATAAATTATTTTAAATAAAATAAATAATAAATATCAAATTTTAAAAAAATTAAAATATTAATATTAATATTTTATAAATTATTTTAAATAAAATACGTAAAAGTCAAAAGAAGGATTAAATTTGATAGATAAAAAATTTCAATTGCTAGAAAGTAGTTTTTTTTTTTAAAGTTAATTTTAGAAAAGTGAATTATTTTCTGATGCTTGGTAATATAATGAAAAATAAGTTCAAAAATATTTTTTTTTAGTTATATTATGAAAAATAAACTTGAAAATAACTTATTAATATTTATCTTTTTTAAGTTTATTAAAACCATAAGGAATAAATATTATAAATTAAAAAGTTGAACGAGAATGAAATTAAAAAATATATAATTTTATAAATTATCTCAAATAAAATAAATAATAATTAAAATACTAGAGATCAAATTTAAAAAATTTAAGAAATAAAAGAAGAAATTAAAATAGTAATATTAATATTTTATAAATTATTTCAAATAAAATAAGTAACAATAAAAAAAATGAGGATTAAATTTGATAGATAAAAAATTTTATTAAAAAAAAATAAGGGAAAAAAATAATAATTATAAGATCAAAGTTAGTATAAAAATTAAATTTTAAGAGATGAAATTGAATAATAAACATTCAAAATAAATCAAAAATTTGAGGATTAAATTTGATCTAAATTTTTTTATAACTTTCAGAAAATGTTATTCGCTTAAATTTTTCTGAAAAATACTTTTCTGGAAATCAAGCTAAATTTTTCTTTGACTGAAAAATATTTTCGGTTGATTAACTTTTCTAATAACAAACAAATACAAGAAAGTTTGAAAAGTAATTTTTTAAAAATCACTTCAGGAAACAAACATGGCCTAAGATGTTTTCCAAAGAAATAGCAGGGGCTTTGGAATGATTGTGTTGTTTGTTTTTATATTTTAAAATTATTTAAAAAAATTAAAAAAAAAATTAAAATTTTTTCTTTGTTTCAAATTAATATTTTTTAGTGTGTTTATATCATTTTAATGTGTTAATTTTAAAAATAATTTTTTTTTTAAAAAAAAAAATTATTTTAATATATTTCAAGTTAAAAATACTTTGAAAAATAACTATAATTGTATTTTCAAATAGGCTAGAATGAATTGGTTAAGAATTGATTAGATTGGTAGGACCAAAAAATATTATTATCATATATTTTCAAGTTAAAAATACTTTAAAAAATAACTATAATTGTTTTTTCTTGTTCAGTTTTGGAATCAGGCCCCAATATTATCACCATCGCAAATTGATGTGTATTATATTATTGCTCAACCCAGACAAAAAATATTAATTTCCTTCAATATCTTAATTTGTTTACCGTATAATTTTATTTTTTTTACTATATAGTATGTCCTTATTAAGTTAAGCAAGTCTATTTCTTACCATGCTTTTCCTTTGCATTACATCGTCATTCTAAGAGCATGCATCAAACTCATTCTCATTATATTAATGCAAATCCAACCATTTCATGATGCAAAAATTGCTTCAAAAAACAATCATTTTTAATATGCTACTTAAGTCTAACATCATGTAGTTGTTTTATATATTTAATCACAAGCAAAACCGTATTTTTATTTTTATTGAACATTCATGAGCAATCTTTTATCTCCTTGAGTAATTGGAAAAAACCTTTAACACTCATAAAATTCTATAAAACTATTTTAATATCAAATTAAGGTTTTTTTAAAAAGTAAAGATCATTAATAAAATAAAATAAATTTTTTGAAAAAAAAAAAGAGAAATACACAATCCAGGGATTGTGTGCCAAGCCCAAAAAAGCATGCGTGAGCACGCAAAGCCAATCCCACACACCTTTCCTCTTTTATTTTTAAAAAAAATTAAATAATATTTATTTATTTTAAAGTAGATAATGCTAGAATAAGTTTTGGAATTTAAATAATATTTTCAATTTATTTTAATTTAAAAACGTTTTTTTAAACTCAAAAAACCAATCCATTTTAAAACACCCCAAAATTATTTAAAAAAAAAGTTGAAAAAAATATCTTTCTATCCAAATTTACTTTTCCCAATAAGATAAATCCCCAATAAAATAAAGAGTAAATAAAACACCTACCAATAATGGTTTTTTTAATTGTCACATAATACCAATCAACAACTCTCTTTTTTTCAAATCTAAAGATTTAAAAATAAATAAAATAAAATTCTGAACCCAAACAAAAATATTAAACTAAATGAGCAAAAAATAAATTTTGGAAACCCTCCAGCGCATAAAAACATCCCCCCCCCCCCGCCAAAAAAAAATCCCAAATTTGGTCCCCAAATTCTATACGCTGAAATCATTTTTTTTTCAATGAAATTGAGAATGTTCATTCAGTTAAAAAAAATAAAAATAAATTGAAATTCGATGGGGCTTGCAGTTCCATTATTTCTCTCTCTTTTCTACGAGATTGTCCATTATCTCTGTCAAACACATGGTAGAATAAAAAACTCCTTACATTTCGATCTTTAAGAAGTGTTCATTTTTTTCAATATTCTAGAAGTCTAGAAGGTGGAAATACAAAGCCGGCCTCTTATACACCAGACACTTTCTTTCATGAAGGTGAATTTGGGTCCCTTGGACTCAAAAGGCCTCGAGCAGTCCTTTTTCTGGTTGCTGAGACAATCACCACTACCACCAATGGCGGCCCTTACCCTCATGGATTGGCCAACAAATACGGGCTTTTTACCCTCATGGATTGACCGACGCTTTTCATAACCATTTTATGTTTCAAGGTCGCAGTCTGACGAGCAATAAATAAGAATATAAACACAACCATGCTCTAGAATAGAATAGAAAACCATGTGCCATATGATTAAACATCAACGCTTGTCCGCGAACGATTTCACCCTTCTCAAATAGATAAAGACCACACTACATACACATTTTAACAGCCACATTACAATTTGTAGGAGTGCCAAGAACCGGTTCTAATAATATAATTAGGATACAAACACCAGGCCTGGAATATTGAGTGTAAACTAAGAATAAATGGCCTCGCATATTGTTAGAAAGTTATTCACATCAAGGATTTATTTTCACAGAGAATTCATATGGGAAAAAATGACAAATAATATTATTACTAATAATGACGTGACTCGATCATCCTGACTTACCAAGTGGCTACAAGAGGTCAATGGAAAACTTCCACCAGCAAACTTAACGTGATTAAGAAAACTACTTTTGATTGCTGAACACTATGCAAATGGATTCCCTCCAACAGAAGCAACAGGCCCTTGTGTTTGAACATTCCTGTTGAGAAGGCAAGTGAGGCTACCGTAATAAATTTACTATAACAAAAGCGCAACAACAATGACAATGACAGAAAACTCACAACCACCACCTACAACAGAAGCTTACCCTAATTGGGGGCTGGGTGCTTGTCCTGCCATATATGCTAATCCACCTACAGAAACAAAAAGAAAGATTGGATGAAATAAAAGCAAGTTACATTGCCAGAGATGCATGGAATGCTTTGATAGTTGTGTAATGAGAAGCAGCGCATTGATTTGAATGCTTGGGCAGATTAGCATCTAAGCATCCAACAAAATGCTTCAGTGTGCTGTCTGGCCATTATAATCCCCAAAGAACAAAAGCTGAAACAAATAAGAGTTTCTCCTGTCGGAATCAGTGGAAAGCTTACCTTGTGGTGCAGCAGGGATATATGTCATCGCTAGATCTTGAGGAAACCATGGTTGAGTCACACCACCAAGGAAGCTGGATGGTGAGTTAGCGTTGGGCAGTGCAGCTTCCAAAGAGCTCATGTCCAAGAACTGAAATATGACACGCCAAGATTAACTTTTAGTAAAGGGGGAAAGTGATGATAGAAATCAGCAGAACAAAGCATCCATAAGACCTTTCAGGTTCTCTTCAGAAGACAACACAACAATTTCTTTCCCTTCATTTTATTTTAGATAAGCATATCTCAAACAAAAGTAAACTAAATACAATCACGTAAGATAAAAAGACAAGGATGCAAGATGCATGATTACCTATCATTTTTATTTTTTTTTAATCATTGAGGAAGCATATATATCCTAACAAGAAGCGCCTCACCAGACACATGATGAAACTTCACAAAAGTGTCTCACTTCAACCCAAAAAAATGTTACCACCCCAGAGCTAGAATGCAAATTACAATGCAGCACACAGCATGACTGTTACATATCCAAGAAAGTAGACAAAATACTACCCCAATTAGATTATTAATGTCATCTAGGATGTGTTAAGGAATGAACCTGCCATCATATGATCCATCACTTAGAAATATGATTGCCAAATATTATTACAAGAATTATTATTATTATTAACAGCCAAAATGAACTAAAAACACCCCATCTTTATTGATGACATTTTATTCTCAAAGTACCTATTCATAGCTAATTGTTAAAAAATGCCACATAAGTTAATAGATCAAAATACTATTTGATGGTAGCATGA